CCCCGACTTTGGGTCCCCCCCCCCCCCCCCCCCCCCCCTTGTCTTTCGAAATCTACCCCCATCATTCACCCCGCTACACCAACTCCCACGAGCGCCCTCACGGCGGGTATGTGTCATGGCGGTTCCATTATGGCGGTACTCCAGTACGGCGGTACGTACTATTTTGGCAGTACTGCAGTACCGCGGTACTTTTTCGGCGGTACTGCAAAATGGCGGTTCCTATTACGCGGTTCCCGGTTCTTCGCTATTTTGTTTGGTGGTACTCTTTAGGCGGTCACGCAATTATTAATGCCGGTACTTTTTAGGCGGAAGGCGGTTTTTCGTTTTTCGGCGGTACCGCCTTCGGCGGTTCCCGGTACCACCGAAATGTGGCGGCAATTACCGCCAGTACCGGGACCGCCCACCACGGCGGGAAAAAAACGACGGGAATTTTCCCGACGTGTACCCTGATAAAAATGATGACAGAGGTCAGCTTTTTCGTCATCATGTCTTTGGGGACCATTTTCGATTAACACCGATCGATCCGATCCGGGAGATCTCCCTTTGTATTGCCTCGTTCTCCCTCTATCTCTCGGCCGGGTTTCCGACGTAGGATCATGTGTGTGTGTGTGTGGCCTCTGCCGCACAGCATCATTTTGGCTCTCAGAGCAGACTGTATGCCCGTGGATTACAGTACACATGAGGGCGCAGTACAGCAGCAGCTAGATAGATAGAGCAGTTTTGGCTACAAAAATAGCACGCTGGCCCCACCCGGCGGATTTACTTTCCTCCTTGCGCGACAGCTCGCGATCAGGTCGGAAGATGCCGTCGTATGCACACATGATCGGTGCGAAACGCAAGATTATTGGCGTTTCGCTCCACTGCCCAAATTGAGCGATTGATTCCAAGCCAACGGCCACATTATTATGTGTAAACTGCTGAGAACTAGAGGTTACCATCGGCATCCTTAAGTAACAGCTTTCGTTTTATTTATGGTTCGTGAGTACACGTTAAGGCGGGAGCCTGCGAAATTGTCCTCGAGTAAAAACTCAAAACAATCACCTCATCACGGGAGTTACACCACCACCCAGTATCAAGACACTCTATGAGCGATGGCAGCAGTCTCTGCAACTCTGCCGGTGTAAGATGCGCCTCGACACGTAGCGTAACCGGTGCATGTGTCCACAACGTCAACGGCGCGTACGTGTTGTTGTCTTACGCTTCGGACCAAGGTCGCCAATACGAAGCATCTAGACGTTGTCGGGCGCATCAGCATGTCATGTGCGAAATATGGCACAATATTAACCCGCTCCATCTGTATGTTCGCCCTCCCGACATAGCAAGGGAGGGGAGAGGCGGAAATACCTTCGCGATACGAGTAAGCTGTTTCATAAACGGCCATTTCATGAATGCCGGGGCACAGCCCATGGACCAAGCATCCAAGACAATCTGTTCTCAGTCAAATCCTCCTCACGTGCTGATGCAGGAGATGTGCTACACGTCAAGCACCATCATCGACAGGCTACACCAATCAAAAGCACTAGGGAGGACAGCGTTTGGAAACACAGCAGCAGTGCAAGCTTGTTTGGGTGTTCGGTTCAAAGCTTTGTGTTAATTCACAAGACACCCCGTCAGTTCCAAAGAGGTGCCAAGCGAGAACAACTACGATCGACGCAGCACGCCTCTCGAGTGTACGCATCATGGTCAAGCCTGGCACGACGACTCGACAAAACCAACAGAGAAAATCGGGCAACAATAGCATCTACCGGCGCCATCCACCAGGGCAAAGCGTCGCAACGCCAGGCGCAGTCGACACAAAACACCAACAACAACATGGGCCCCAATCTCCTAGCCCCCTCGCCTCCGAACAGTAACCGCAAGCCTCACGCACGAGGGTGCACCGCACGAACCAACCACGGAATACACGGCTAGTATTTTCTACATCCGTTGACACGATATCGTTTTTATGAGCCCAAATGAAAAAAAAACGTCAATGAACCAGAACATCATCCGGTTCTCGGTCTAGGAAAGAAGAGGCTCCCCCTCCCCCCATCGCAGAACTCTAAACAAAAAAACAATAAAACATAGTCACAACACGTCACCGCTATTCACAAAAGCGCGCCCAGCAACAAAACCGGTGCAAAAGGTCTGAACGACGCACGGACTAGAAATCTAGTTGAAGGTGTATCCCGCGCCGAGGAGGTCGTTGATCACGTACGGCTTGTTGTTCAGCTCCTCGTGCACCATCAGGGCCAGGATGCCCATCTGTGCCGCGCGCCCGTTGTTCAGCTCGATCGCGCGCTTCGACGCCTGGGTCTCCTCCGACATCGCGTCCCACGAGGACCCGAACGGGTTGCCGCCCAGGGTGAAGTCTCCGGGGAATGAGCCCTCCACGTTCTTCATCACAGCCAGCTCAAGGAAGCCGATGAACGCGAAGATCTGGGCGAGGCCCGCCGGGGGGATCTTCGACAGAGCGGCCACGCCGTTCGGCATGTCCGCAAACGACAGGTTCGCCGAGTTCGACAGCATGCCGGGGAGCCGGGTGTTCTGCTGGGTCAGGTGACCGGCGATGGCGAGCATAGCAATGCGCCCGTGCTTCACCTCCACGTACCGGAGGCGCTCGAACCGCTCCTGGTCCGCGTCCTCGAGGAGGCCGAGCGGGTCCCAGAATCCGAGGGGGGGCTGCGCGCCGATCTCCGACTCGAACGACATCTTCATGGCCGAGGACGACTTGGCCGGGGTGGCCACGGCGGCGCCGTTAAATGCGCTGGGGTGTTTGGTGCGGGTGGTCGAAAGTGGGGGAAAACAGGGAAAAGGGAAAGAGAGGAAAGGAGCGAGAACAGGGACAGGGATTAGATTCTGGAAACCATGTTCAAGCGGATTGAAAAGCTGAGAGCAGGCACGGGCGGATCATTTCAACGGTTCACGACTCCCTCTCATTATTTTCAAAAATATTTTCAAGAACCGCACGTCCGGTGTCGAAGGGGCAAGCAATCGTTAGGGGCATAAGTTATGCAAGTACAACAGAGGCGGTCGGTCGTGAGAAGGCCCTGTGTCGCGACCGCTTCACGTTTTCCGTTGTGGGGAACGAAAAGCTTGACGTTTTCCGCTGTGGGGAAAGAAAGACCAGAAAAAGCTACCGGAATAGAGCAGCATACAGCGATATTTCCCCAGTGGGTAACAGGCTCAACGAGACGGTTTCGTAGCCGTTGTGTATCTCTCTGTATCTGTAGTCATGCGGGGAAGGTGTAGAAGGAAGGTGTTGGGATAATTTTGGTTAGTCAAGCATGCTATTTGTATCACCCTCGCGGAATCGTGGACCGCTGACCGGACTGGATGAAAAATAGCTCGTCTGGTGGCCCCGGGAACCCTAGAATCCTTCTGCCTTCATGTGTAGCATAAACCATAGGAACTACTGCTGTACGTCCCTACGCAGCTAGCAGTGGGTTCGAATGTTCGTCGAGTGAAGGCAAGCACCGCAAGACGAAAGGTGGAAATTACTGGTTGGTGGCTCCCCCATATCTAATAAAGAGTGAAAGATGTAAAAGGGCGTCAACGAATACATTGAAGAAAAAGAACACAAAAGCGAGGTCCTCCTGTTCGCGAAATCCGCGCGAAACCAGAGGTTCAACAACAGCTGACGCGTGAGATACGTTGGGGAACTTGAGGCTGTTGAGTGGGATCGACCGAGCCACGTAAGTTTTCAAACCCGGGCGTCGTAGTGGATATACAGCCTTCCCCACCTCAAGGCAATGACAATCGAATCTCAGGTCGTTGTGGCGAGACAGCGTCGTGTGTTGCAGGAGCGACGTATCTACGAGTGAGCACGTACGCACATGCAGATGGGTTCTCTGCCAAGTTATTTTAGTTTATACAACTAGCTGTCCCCACCGAGACGCTGCAAGAAAAGCGCGTGGAAGAACAGGAAGGGTACATATACTCGTAGGCAATAGTTCATTCGAAGCAAGACACGGACAGGACGGCATCAAAAAACTTTTCTGTTGAGGCTGTGTACGAAACTTGCCCGAACACGGAACTCTAAACGTGAGGCGGGCTCTCCAGAACAGCAGGAGAGCGGCCTACACTAGGGGACAGACGAGGAGCCCATGCGATAGAATCATGGCATCGCTGCGACCTACGAACGGGCGCATGATCCCGTTGATGTCCCATCAACAAGACTGACAGCAACCCAGCGCATGCGATCAAGCCTCCCACACCTGTTCTCACCTGGGTGCCACGAAGGCTTGGGCTCCGGCCACGCAGGCAGCGGCTACAACGCAGGACTTCATCTTGATGGGGTTAGGTGGTGTGGGAAGAGAAAGGTGCAGGATGTGGTTGGCAGAAAACGGAGTGAACGAAGGCGGCGGGGGCGTGGGCTGTCAAATTCGAGAGAAGGTCGAACAGCCGCCATCCACATGACATCAACTACAGCTCGGCCAATCACAGGCCGCGGGACTGTTTACGAGGTCAGGGTCACGATATGTAGTTTGGCCGCATTTTTTCCTGCTCGAGGCCCAACCCACTGCTACCCGCTGCCCTGGGCGGTTGTGATATGTTGTCGGCTTACGTTTCTTGCGGAAACAGGGTGCTGCTTCTTTGTCAAGCGCTCTGATGTTCGAAGCAGTTTGGTTTTCATGTGCAATCTCTCTGTTATATTGACCGGCTTCCGACCGAGCGCAAGTCCCAGCTGTGTCCAGGTCCCACGTGTCATACGACCCGGGTTTCAGTGGCAGTTTCTTCGTCGTTTGGGGTTATTTTCGACGAACATGCATCATCGCTCTCCCTTTCCTGCATCACCCCCTCTCCGCCTCTCCTTATCTCTCTCCCTGACGTCCGCACCGATAGCTACCGATGTAGGATCATGTAGCTGCTGCACATCATTTATTATTCCTTCGGCTGTCAGCAGTAGTACGATGTACGAGGACTGCCGTGCACATGAAGGTGCTGGCTGCTGGCACGCGGGCACCCGTCATTTCTACTTTAGACTACTCCTTGTACGACCAGCTACGGTCAGGTCGGACGATGCCGTCGTATGCACACATTATCGATACCGAGTATATGCTCCACAGCCACGTCACTCTGGGGCATTTTCGCATGAAAATGGTATAATAGCGAGAGAGAAGCGAGTGGAACACGCGCGTGTTGTGTGCGTGTGCGTGTGGCAGAATGGAGACGACTCTCGTTTCGTCTGGACCAACCACCATTTGGTGGTGGTGGTGGCCGTGGTGGTGGTGGCCGTGGTGTTTTTTTGGCGATCTGTTTGGCGATCGCGCGTCTCACGCGCACCTATCTATGATATGTACATGTCTACGGATCGCACATCGTAGGAGAGAAGAGTGGGTTCCCACATTCAGCTTCGGTGCCTGCCACCACTTCGTTGTGGCCTTTATTTTCTCTAGGTGTAGAAGGTGTGCGTGGAGCTCTGGAGGGGAGCACGAAACAGCTCACACCCAAGCACCTAAGCACGTGCCGCACTACTACACGAACAAGCGGTCCATCACCCGCCATAAGCAACTGCTGTGACACCGAGTGATACTTTCGAAAACAGTGGCCCTCTCACATCATGGCAGCAATCGAGGGAACTCTGCTGCACGCACAACGACGAAATCTACGCATCTCCATATCTTCTATTTATTTAGCAGTAGTAATGATACAGAACGTGCCGCAATTCAGCAGTCAGTCAAGAACTTGAGCCTAAAAGAATCCAAAATCAAATAACTTGGCCATGAGAACAGATGCTCAGTTAGTTCCGACGGGGTTTTAGGATCTAGAACCCGCAGTGAGGCAGAAAACACCATGCCTTTTACCCCTTGAGATATTGCAGCAGCTTGATCAAGTTTCAAAGTTGAGCGGAAGAGGTGTCATTCTGATCGGTATTTCGAAGCGACCTAGCAGCATGGGTTGGGGCAGCCGCGGAAATTCTGGACAACAACCGTGAAGAGGACCGGTTTCACCTTTTCGAGAGTTGTGGCATGGCGATGACTACGACTGACTGTGGACCGTGCAGGCGATGACCGAATCAACTTCAGTGTTTGGACAAACAAACCGTATACCTGCGTGGGCGATGAGGACTTAGCGACGAAGAGTCAGCTTCAGAGACTGGGAACGAAGGGTGCGGGGGGGAGGATCACCAGAAGGTCGGGGGCGCGGTGAATGATGTAGGGGACAGGGGCGAGGGAGATGATAGCTGCAGGGAGGGCATCCAGGGCGGCGTTGCCAACGACAAAGACGGTGACAGCACGTAGCATGTGTTCACCACAGAAGTGTTGCACTTTCCGGAATAAATTAATTATCGTTGTTGTTGACGTTGATGCTGCTATTGCTATTTATTGCTTCTTGTTCCACCGAGAGATATTTTATATTGATGCAAGTATATCTTGATTTTTAATGGAAGCTTGTGACACTCTTATTGTAGTGATTTGCAATTTCATGGTATACCCTTGTTTGGGGTGCTCGGCAGAGTATACTGTCTACGGGGCCTCCGGGGGGTACGCGGATGAAATGTGTTGATGGACATGCTGCATGGCGATGGTGTTGCCTACCGCATGTCTCTCACTCTCTAATCAACAAAGGTCTTGAGTCAACCTTCTTTCTCTTTCGGCCTCTGACGGGCTACCGCACCCAAACACAATATATTGTATGGCCTGGTGTTGGTAGTGGGTATTGGCGTCTGAGCTGTATGTGCCGGGCCAATGGGGCGGCGAATACGATATATATAGCTAAGCTGGGACGTGGCCAACGGGGACGGGACAGCACGGCAGCGGGTAGTGTATAGCTGGGACGGTGGCCATCGGGGACCGGGACAGCAGGGGGTGTATTGCTGGGACAGCGCTTCAGGGCTGGGACAGCAGGGTACGGGATATTTTTCAAGTGTAGACTATGGCGGAGAGAAGCGGCGGAATAGGAAGAGATTCGCAAAGGGAGGAGACTACAGTTGTGCGCATCAAGATGGAGGAGAGGTCGCGCAATGCAGCAGAGAAGCTACGAGCTGCCGAGTCGGAGGTGGAGAGGCTGGTGAAGGTGCTCAGAGCTGCGGAGGCTGCCGAGTATGAGAAGGAGAGACTTAGGCGGCAGCAACAACAACAACAACAACAGCAGCAGCGATGGAGTGCTCAATGGCAGCAGCAGCCATCGCAGGTACAGCAGTGTTCTCGTGGTGGTTTTGTCCCTCAGCAGAACCAACACTGCGTTTTCACTCAGAGCCACCAGGCGCGGCAGCACCAGCAGTTGGCGCGGCAGCAACAGCAGCTGCCGCCAACCGGAGTTGGTGGGATATATGACTGCGGGAGCAACGCCGTGTATTTCCAGCAGGAATCACCCCCTCCGCCTGGTACGGTATACCATTGCACTCGGTGCGGCAGGAACGGCCACCACGGAGAAGAATGCGCCGCACCCCGCAGGTTCGAGGGTACGTGTGGCGCCTGTGGTCAGTACGGCCATATGTGGTGGAACTGCGCCGTGCATCTTCATGGCAGCAGCGGCGAGGATGACGGCCGTATCGTCCGCGGTGGCTGCTGGATGGGCGTCAATGGCGGCGGCAGCTGCATGGACATCGGTGGAAGCTCGGTCGTACAGCAGCAGGGGGTGGTAGAGAGCGAGTACCGCTCTGATTTTGTCGACCTGGTTCACGTTGGCGGCGAGGTGATGGCAGAGAGCGAGTACCGCTCTGATTTCGTCGACGTGGTTCACGCTGGCGGCGCCGTGGACGGTGATGATGACGGATGGTTTGGATGGAATGATTCTGTGGACATGGTTCACGCTGGTGGCAGTGTCTGCGATGATGTTTTCCCCGCTGCTGGGGCGGGAGAAATGGCCGGAGCGCCTTGCGTTGGCGACTGGAGTGGCGGCATCGGCAGCAGCTCCAGCGGCGACGGCGGCGATCTCCGGCGGCAGTGTTTTCCCCGCGGCGGCGGCGGGGGGAACGGCCGGGGTCCCCGCGGTGGCGGCAGGAGCGGCGGCATCGGCAGCAGCTCCGGCGGCGATGGCGGCGACCTCTGGCGGCAGTGTTCCCCCCGCGACGGCGGCAGGGGGGATGACCCGAGTCCCCGCGGTGGCAGCACGAGCGGCGGCATCGGCGGCAGCTCCAGCGGCGACGGCGGCGACCTCTGGCGGCAGTGTTTTCCCCGCGGCGGCGGCAGGGGGGGTGGCCGGAGTCCCCGCGGTGGCGGCAGGAGCGGCGGCATCCGCAGCAGCTCCAGCGGCAACGGCGGCGACCTACGGCGGCGGTAGTGTTGTCGCCGCGACGGCGGCGGGGGGAATTGCCGGGGTCCCTGCAATGGTGGCAGGAGCGGCGGCATCGGCAGCAGCTCCAGAGGCGACGGCGGCGACCTACAGCGGCGGTAGTGTTTCCCTCGCAGCGACGGCGGCGGGGGGAATTGCCGGGGTCCCTGCAGTGGCGGCAGGAGCGGCGGCATCGGCAGCAGCTCCAGAGGCGACGGTGGCGACCTACGGCGGCGGTAGTGTTACCTTCGCAGCGACGGCGGAGGAAGCGCGCGGAGGGCTCGCGGCGACAGCTGGAGTAGCGGCATCGGCGGCGGTTCCAGCGGCGACGGCGGCGGTGCCCGGCGACACTGTTATCTCCGCGACGGTGGCGGGGAGAACAACCGGAGCGATGGTGGTTGGAGCGTTGGCATCGACGGCGGTTCCAGCGGCGACGGCGGCGGCACCCGACGGTGTTGTTTCTCCCGCTGTGGCGGCGGGGAGAATGGCTCGAGAGCCCGCGCAGGTGGCTGCAGTGGCGGCATCGGCGGCTGGAGTGGCGACATCGGTGACGGCACGACCCGCGACCGCGGCGACGGCACCGGCCGCTACGATGGCAACCGTCGGTAACGTTTCCCCCACCATATCGGTTGGGGGGGCGGCCAGCAACGGAGAAGCGGTGGTCAACGGCATCGACGACGGTAGCGATGATGGCGGTTGGTGCGCAGGTGAGGTTGATGGCTGCTGGGGTGACAGCGTCTGTGGCGAGAGGGGGGCGTCCACGCACCCTTTCGATCCCGGCACCGTGTGTTCGGGGGTGCGCGGCGCCAACTATCCCGGGGTGGACGACCTGGTCGATGGCTCCAGCAACAGTAGCGGCAGCAGCATCGGCAGCAGTAGAAACGACGAGGCAGACGGGATGGATGTGGCCTGGTTTGGGGCACTGCTGCGCCCCTTCGACCCGAGGAAGCTGTGCCGGCTGAAGGCTGGGAGAGTGGGGCTGGTGATGGGGATGGACACCCCGTTCGACCGTGGAAAGATGTCGCGGGGGCAACGGCCGGGGAGCCCGTGTTCGCGACCGGAACAACGACAGGAGGATCATGAAGCGGGGAAGGGAGTTCGGAGGACCGGGCGAGTCCAACAATGACGGCAAGCAGCGCGACTTCTGCTGGGGTCTTAAACTCGCCAAGGCACGTGATGTTTGTTTGCGTATTATTGTCACTTTTCTGAAATTTGTTTTGTGCAGGATGCTGTTCTTGTGTTTTGATCTTCAGATACAATTCTGCATTTTTCCTATCGTTGGCACATTTGCAGGTTTGGATTTGTTTTTGTTTTGTTTTGTAGAGATGCCCACCCGCGTTTTACCTTGCAGGGACACTAATTTCCACGGCCAAATGGCAGGGAATCTCCATGGTAGATTATTGTTTTTCTGGGAGGCAAATGGAATGTTGCGGCCGGGGGGCTGTTGTTTGCCAGGAAAATATCTCAAATGGCGGTGGTAGTATAGTTTCTGCGTACGGTTTGTTCCACTTTGGTTTTTCCTTCTTTGTTGGGATAACATTCTCTATGATAGTTACCGCTATGTTTTTCTGATGGTACTGGATATATGTAAGTAGGCGTTGGCTTGGCGTGCGACGTGCTGGGTAAAGACGTTGGGGGGCACGCACCGTTTCTCTGTCCCTCCGATGTACCGTACCCGACGAGTCAATCCTTGCGGAGTAGCAATTTTCCTTCTCAAGTAGGCCTGTACGGCAGACTGGTATGTGCTGGACGTGTGACGCCTTTTCTTTGATATGTTTTGTTTTCTTGTTTCGGTTTGGAGTTGATGAAGTTGGATGCAGAATTGGCATGCTGGATTTTGCGGAATCACGCCTGATTGTTGCACTGCTGTCGGAAATCATGGGGGGGGGGATGTGATACCATGCTGTCCGCCGCAGCACAACAAGTAGTGTTTCTGACATCGGGTTTGGTAGTTCATGTTGAGATTTTCCGTGTTTTCCCTGGGGATTTTATATGGAACTGATGTTGGTTTATGGGATTTGGGTAGTTCATGTTTGGATCGTTCTCCGCGTTTTACCTGCGGAGGTGACATGGAATTGAATATTGAATGGGATTTTCGTTGCGTTCGTATGAGATGGCCCAGCAGGGGGGCTGCTGGATTGTTGATTGTCTGTTTTGGATTTGTTGGTTTCTTCATGTTTGTTTTGGACTTGTTTGTTTGGTTTCATCGTGTTTGGGATGGATGTTACAGCAGGGGGGCTGTTGGACTGGTATGTTTGTCAAGGTATTGGGTATTGGAGGAAGGATTTGGCATGTTCTCGTAAGTCATGGTTGAAGCCTTTGTGCTTCCGATTGTTATTTGAGCTGGTCAATGAGTTGAAACATGAATGTTTATCTGAGGAATTTGTTCTGACTAAGTCAGGACGTTGGACACGTTTTCCCGGAGTTACCCGTCCCCGTTCTGACGTGATTCTGATGTAATGTGTATCTTTGCTGGGTATTTTTCCAAGGGTATTTGTTTGTGTTTTGACTTCTTGAGAATTTGGTAAAGCATTTTTCTCAAGAGGGTGAATTGTTTATTGACAGACCTTTTAGGAGATAGTTATTTGATATCATCAGAACATTTGAAAGATTTCGTAGAGCATGTTTTATTGGGAGATCGACAGATTTCGTAGAACATTGTTTTATTGGGAAATTGTTTGAAATGGAATGAATGAATGGTGGATGATTTCCGTTTGGATGCGTAGTTTGATTTATCGCCGTTTTACCTGGCAATGATAGTCGTGGCGGGGATTTCGTAGATCGTATCTCGTACCGAGCAGGGGGGCTGTTTGGGGTGCTCGGCAGAGTATACTGTCTACGGGGCCTCCGGGGGGTACGCGGATGAAATGTGTTGATGGACATGCTGCATGGCGATGGTGTTGCCTACCGCATGTCTCTCACTCTCTAATCAACAAAGAGCAGCAGTCGGGGACGTGTTGAAAACAACTAACTACAGACACCAGTTTGTACTTGGCCAACTAATGTACTGCAGCATAGCCGGCAGCGGAAGAAGGAGGAAAGTCCAAGTAGACATATATTTATCTCATTCTTGTGAAACAAAAAAAAACGAGCGTACTTCAGCGTCGCACCGAGAAACACCAGTACATATATATATATAACAACTGTCTCGGCGGAGACCAAAAGCTACCCTGACGGCTTTTTTTCCCTACACATATATTATCGCGAATAGTTCCCTGAACCTCCCCCCGCGGCTTGGCTCTACGACTCTGTTGAGTTTCATGAGTACACGAATGAACGGTCTTCGAAAGAAGGTACTCCGTCTCACGGCACTCGCCACCCCTTCCCTTCACGTACAAACAGGATCGAACGTCCTCCAAGCGAGAGATAACCTTGCTAGCTCTCGGTGAGGGACGAGGTTTTGCACGACTTTTTTTTTTGGCATCAGATGGACCGCCGGTAGATGGGAGGAATCTATCCACACCAACACCCAGTTACAGCTGCAGCAGCAGACCGCTCGCTACTTCTGCTGTCTGTGCGTCGCTACTTCTTCACTCACTAGCTGTGGTGGTGCGTGCAAAGAGCGGCCGGACACAAGAAATGGGGGGTACGCGGCAGAAAAAATGGGGGTACCCCATTATCGTGCATTCTGCCGGGCCCCCTGGTGCTCAGCATAAAGAGTTTCCTGAAAGCGGGAAGTTTCCTTACCGCGAGCGTCGTTACAGCGGGGTCGACTGTATAGGTAACGCCCGCGCAGGCACGACAGATCCACATTCTTCGGGTCGAGGTGGATTGATTGTGTTTCGTATCGTTACAGCCGGTCCGTCGAGCATTTGACGACAGACGGGAGAAAGTCGTTAGGGTTTCGACAACCAGGGTGTGGCGGAGTGAGTTCATGGGGTACAACCGACACATCCACCTGATGTTGGTGCATGCAAGCATCGAGCGTGCGCGTGTGAAAGAAGGGTTTGTTCGGTATTAAGTGAAGATCGCATTATTACCAAGCTGGACGGAGAGAAACAGCCGGTTTTCATGCACGTGCCTCCAAACCTTCATACTGGTTGGACGAGAAAAAGGTCATCTTGTACTCTGTACATACGTATGATGTGCGTACTAACGTTTAGTCTACGCTTCGGACCAAGGTCGCCAATACGAAGCATAACGAAGCATCTACATGGCACCTCTTGACGGTTGAAACAAGAATCAGCCAGCCAGCGTGCTTCCATGGTACGCACGTGCAGATTGCGCCCAAGCTGCAAAAAACGATGAAAACAACGCCCAACGTGCAGCAGCACGCTGTTCCCCAATACATTGGGGAAATCCAATATTAGTCCTTTCACGCGTGACTTCGTCCCAAAAGCCCAGAGCAAATCAAGTCTGCCACGAAACTCATCTCATGAACGTCGTCCACAATCGAACGCAAGTCTACAGACCCCCCTCACACGGACAAAAAAAAAAAACAATACCTTGCGTCCACGACAAAACAGGGAGCGAAGGACTACGATTGACCACGGTCCTGTCTTGAATACCCGAAGAAACAGTTTCGCTTTTCAACATCAAATCTTCCGCGCTATCTAGCCAAAAATCAAGGCCTCCGGAACCGCTTCGTAAAAAGATCATTGCGTCTGTACACTGTTTTCGTCTATTCTACAATCCTGAGAAAAACTAGAAAAAATGACCCAGCATTGGAGAGCTAAGATGCAACCGAGGCACGTGCGGCACACCAAAACAGGACTGCTACCCTTCTTCCACCACATCCGCGACACCATCTAACCCAAATCGTTGAGTCATTCTAGTCAAAACCTACGGGAAACGCTTCGCGACGTTGGCAAATGCAAAAGTGGGTGGGTGGGTGGTTTAGTTGAAGGTGTATCCCGCGCCGAGGAGGTCGTTGATCACGTACGGCTTGTTGTTCAGCTCCTCGTGCACCATCAGGGCCAGGATGCCCATCTGTGCCGCGCGCCCGTTGTTCAGCTCGATCGCGCGCTTCGACGCCTGGGTCTCCTCCGACATCGCGTCCCACGAGGACCCGAACGGGTTGCCGCCTAGGGTGAAGTCTCCGGGGAACGAGCCCTCCACGTTCTTCATCACAGCCAGCTCAAGGAAGCCGATGAACGCGAAGATCTGGGCGAGGCCCGCCGGGGGGATCTTCGACAGAGCGGCCACGCCGTTCGGCATGTCCGCGAACGACAGGTTCGCCGAGTTCGAGAGCATGCCGGGGAGCCGGGTGTTCTGCTGGGTCAGGTGACCGGCGATGGCGAGCATAGCAATGCGCCCGTGCTTCACCTCCACGTACCGGAGGCGCTCGAACCGCTCCTGGTCCGCGTCCTCGAGGAGGCCGAGCGGGTCCCAGAATCCGAGGGGGGGCTGCGCGCCGATCTCCGACTCGAACGACATCTTCATGGCCGAGGACGACTTGGCCGGGGTGGCCACGGCGGCGCCGTTGAACGCGCTGTGGTGATTTAATGGAGGTGGGTGGCAACAGGCAAAGGGGAAGGGGAGAGGAAGGGAAAACAGGGAGAAGGATGAGGTATTGAAAATATCCAACTCCGTTGAAAAACTGAGAGCAGGTATTGGCGGATCATTACAACAAATATTCACAAATAACAAATAGATAGGTGCTGATGTCCAGTTTATTGGGGACAAGAGAGATGTTCCGTGATTTACATTATCTTGCAGCCTTGGAGATACGGTCAAGTTTAACAAGTACAACACGAGGTTTCGCGGTCGTGACAGTTAGCCTTCTGTGCATCGCGCCTGTTTCACGTTGTCGGTTAAGGAGGAAGGAAAAGCCTCGTCATTGGACAGGTGCGGACATCGTTTTACCCGTGAACGGACTTGAGGGACGCAGTGAAAGCAGCTCGTCTGCAGAGGTCAGGACCACGACTGCTCCAAGTACAACACGGTCCAACTTCACGCCTGGGTGATTCAAGATTCTTCGCAGCGGTTCCATCAGTCTCGACGACATTTCAAGGATCGGAGGGCGTCGCCGAAGAGTTGACTGCATGTAAGTACTACGCAGGCATACCGGGAGGTAAAGGCGTCCACGAAAACAAAATAAACAATGGAAGTTATTAATAGGAGAGGGGCGCTCCTTTACTAATCGGCGAAATCCACGCGATAACACAGCTAGCTTCAACAGCAATAACTGACGCGAGAAGTTTTGGGGGAGTGATCACCAGTGATGCCAGACTGGAGTCTGTTGTGAGTGGCGCCTCGCTTCCGTCGAACAGCATTCATGTAGTTTCTTTCGAAGCAAGAGAAGGACATGATGATCGATGCAAAGAATTTTTTTGGGGACTAGAGACGATTTTCTCTCTAACATGGAACTCTGCAACCTGAAGCGGGCTCTCCAGAACAGCAGGAGATGGGCTTGGGTGCTGGGAAAGACGAGGAGCGCATGCGATAGGTAGAACTATAGAAGAATCACTGCGATCTACAAAACACGGGCGCATGATCATTCTGACTTGCACCCACAAACGAGAGGAGAAGTCGCAGAAACCCCAGCGCATGCGGTCAAGCCGATAGCTGTTCTCACCTGGGTGCCACGAAGGCTTGGGCTCCGGCCACGCAGGCAGCGGCTACAACGCAGGACTTCATCTTGGTGTGAGGTGGTGTGGGGGAGAGAAAGTTAAAGGTGGGTTTAGGAGAGATGCGGTGGGCAGTGGGCAGAAAACGGAGTGAGCGAAGGTGGCGGGGGCGTGGGCTGTCAAATCTGAGAGAAGGTTGAGAACATCCGCCATCCAGATGACATCAACTACAGCTCAGCCAATCACGGGCCGCGGGACTGTCATTCTCAAACGCGACATTTTGGCGGTTGTTGAAATCGTGTCAGTTGTCGGCTTGCATTTCTTGCGGAACTAGAGTGCCGCACGGTGGCAGCAGTGCTTTTCTTGCGCCAAGCAGTCTCCTCACAATACGAAGCAGTTGGGTCTATCCCTCGTTAACTTTACCACCTTCCGAGCTTGCATAGGCCCTGCTGCTCTGTCCACGTCATGGCATGTCACATGATCCGGGTGTCGGGTATCCGGTGGCAGTTTCGTCGTTTAGGGGCGACTTTCGACGGAAATCGATCCGGCAGCAGAAATCAACCCCATTCTTGCATCGCCTCATCCTCCCCCCCTCTCTCTATTTACTATTTACGCGCAGCGAGAGCTACTACTACTACTGCTGACCGATGTATGTATGTATGTATGTAAATAATGAGGGAGATCTGTGAGCTCTGGTACGCTAGCTACAGTTAGCGCCCGCAATTAAGAAACGCTTATTTCAGGTCCAGCCTCGAATTCTTATTGTGGGCTATAAACTCAGCGTATGTCATTCAGTTTCTTATATATCATGTTTCTTATTTTGTCGTGCAGCCAAATCCTGCTGAATTTCTTAAATCGGCAATTTCTTATTTCTCTGCTTTCCTCGCCTCCCGTACTCAACCCCGATTCTCACTACCGACGGCTGCACGTAAGGCCACTCCCTAGAAGCGAAATGTATTCAACGGCAACGTCTTGCTATCGCTACAAGGTCTTGTACCCCCCTCATGAGTGAGGGCTGAAACGAAACAAATGTATGAACACCGCATGATGCCTCACCCGCACGCTGACAGCCAACAACGAAAATCAGAGCTTTAGCGCCAGCAGAGCAGAGCGCAGAGCCCGCGGGGGGCCGGAGGGGGCGCCGCAAAAGAAAACACTCCCTCCCCCCTCGGCGTACAACTAATAATAATGCACTATGGGAGGGGGGGGGGGGGGGGGTAGGGAGAGAGGGGGAAAGAGCGAGAGAGCTGTGGGGTTTGTTTCTTAAGGAATAATAAATATTCGACACACTCCTGTTAAGGAGGACCCGATTCGCAGGGTATCCGTCGATTGACTTTTACCAGAATCGGTACACCTTCGCATATGGCGTCAGCTGGATACTGGTTCGAATCTCGTTGGGTGCACGTTTTTTCTCCTGACTTGGACATTTTCCCATTGACACCATGTGTGTCAGTCCTGAGAACACCTATTGGAATCGATCCTATAAAGAACTTTGTGACACTTCCATCGAATTACCCGCCCTGGCCACAAGAGGTTCCCAGTTGAGGGTAAACTCTGTGGGTGGAGAGTGTTAAGGAGGACCCGATTCGCAGGGCATCCGTCGATTGACTTTTACCAGAATAGTGTTAAGGAGGACCCGATTCGCAGGGCATCCGTCGATTGACTTTTACCAGAATCGGTACACCTTCGCACTCCCCCGTAACCCCTCGTTTCTTATGTCATGTAGTAGGGCAGCAGTCGCTGCTGCTGTGTTTGTTTCTTATTGAGACATTTCTTCTTACTGTGTGACCCAGATTGAGCTATGTTTCTGAAGCAAGCCTGTTTTCTTATTTTTCGTGAAAAAGTGAGCCTCAATTTCTTAACTAAATATTTCTTAATTGCGGGCGCTAACTGTACATGGACTAGATAGAGTAGTCTTTACCGAAAATTTTATTTAGTTGATTTCTTCACCATAATTTACTCCTTGTTTTCCCCCTGTCTCACTGCACATCATTGCACCAACAACCCCCCATCGAGCGATGAAACGTGCCTTTGCTGCCAGTCGTTTTTTTGTGCTGTCTTGTTTTGTTTTTTGTGTTTGTCGCTACGTACGGTGGTGGTGGGTGGTATTTTGTGTAAAGGTAGTACAGTAGTATGTAGTGGTGAGAGAGTGGTCCTGATGTTCCGTCCAACTTCACCCTGAACATAGCCTTGTTCCGGTTAATTTGGTACGCAGCGATGGCTCTCCAGCCCTCGTGGGTAACTATCTCGTGGATATGCTTCCACAATGTGCTATGTTTTCTTCCGAGGAACACTTTGTGCAAAATGGTTGCCAACGACTCCCGCTCGCGGGAATCTCTTCACTCGAACCAGGCGACGTTCTGGGTACAGCTTCGGCTCCGCTTCTTCGCGTGCCTCTCAGTGCTGTGTCTCGCCACAGTTTGAGCGATGGTCTTCAATCTGCGGCTCAAGATCCCACCACTGCTTCGGGCAGCTGGGTTCCGGGTCCTGTTTCGACAGATGGCCTTGATTCGTCTGCCACGCATCGCATTGATGACCCCTTCGTGTATAATTTGCATGAGCGACCCACGCCGTCGCAAAGTGGCAAAGAGGACCCTGGTTCTGCCAGTGCTTCTCTTTCGTCGCCTCCGCCTGCTCTTCTCGAGCGGTTGACGTCTGAACAACGTCAGAGTTTTTCCCACGTATGGGATAAGCTCCCCTGCCATCTCCGTGAGATTTCTTTTGATCTCCATGTTCCGGGTTGGACTCCGGATGTCATCACTCAGCTTGGTAACGTCCTGTGCGACTATCATGATGTCTTCTCGAGTTCCCCCACCGACTTTGGATCTTGTTCGCTTTTTCCTTTCAAGCTTACAGTTCCTCCGGGCAGTGCACCCGTCACGTCTCGTCCATACCGCGTTAACCCCCCGGTGGCGAAACAAGTTGACGCGATCCTTGATCAATATCTTGCCGCTGGTCTGATCCAACATTCGACCTCGCCCTACTCGAGTCCTTTGGTAGTCATACCGAAGAAATCTGGTGGTGTTCGCATCACTGTCAACTATCGCAAGCTCAACAAGCTTTGTGCTTTGAGCCAGCTTCCGATTCCTCGAGTTGATGATACTTTGGACAAGCTGTTGAAAGGGCGAATCTATTCCCTTTTCGACATGAAGTCTTCGTTCCACCAAATCACGGTTCACCGTGATACAATCCCTTTGACGGCATTCATGACGTCTTCCGGGCTTTTTGAGTGGTTGAAGATGCCTCAGGGCAGTTCTGCTGCCCCTGGGTGGTTTTGCAAGGTGGTCAACGAAGTCATCAAAAATCTCCACGGTGTTGCATCGTACTTGGATGATTTGATCGTTTTCGACGACAACCCTGCTTCTCATGTTGATACCATGCGCGCTCTGTTTGAACGCTTGCGCACACACAACTTGAAACTCACCCCACCGAAGGCCACCATTGGCGCTACCGAAGCGGATTTCCTCGGCCACACCATCTCCCCTGACGGTGTTCGGCCTAACGGGGCCAAGGTTGCGGCCCTCACCAAAATGCCCATGCCTAAGGATGTTAAACAACTTCGCTCTCTTCTCGGCGGCCTCAGCTACTACCGCAAGTTCCTTCCCAACATGGCTACGCGAATTCGACCTTTGACCACTCTTCTCAAGAAGCAGGCGACGTTCGCCTTCACCCCTGCCATGGAGCAAGCTGTTCGCGTCCTGCTGTCTGAGTTGGCCAACCCTCCTGTCTTGGTTTATCCAGACTGGGATGCCGTTACGGACGGCTCGCGACCTTTTCGCCTCTACTGTGATGCTAGTCGCGATGGGTTCGGCGGGACTCTCGAACAAGAACAGCCGGATGGCTCCATCCGGCCCATCGTTTTCATCAGCCGAGCTACTTTGGACTCCGAACGTCATTGGACTCCCCTCGACCTCGAGGCGGGTAGCATCGTATGGTGCATCAAACGACTTCGCGGTTATTTGTGGGGCACGAAATTTCGCATTTTTACCGACCACAAATCTCTTGAGCATTTTGCCAAGGTGGGGGAGAACAATGCCCGCGTTCAGCGTTGGCTTGAATTTCTTACCGCCTACAATTACACTCTCGAGTACCGCAAGGGTTCCGCAAATGGCAACGCTGATTTCCTCTCTCGCCTTCCGATCGATGCGGCGGAATGTGACCGATCTGGTCGCAGTCGCTTGACACTGGATGACGATGAGGAGAGCGTCTTCTTCATCCGTTCTTGTGGCCTTACGCCTTCTGGCCATCGCGCCGTGGGTGTTGGCTTGGGTGGGCTCGTCCCCACTTCCCCGACTTCGGTCTTGGGTGGGCTGGCCCCCTCTACAGATGATTTTGTCGACTTCCGTCGGCATGGTCCACGTCTCTCGCCGACTGCAGCATCACGACGGACTCTCGACCCTACTCAACTAATTTCCACGCGAACTCGCCGTCGCACGGCGGTTGTGGCAGGCACGCCCCTCCCGCCCGTGGATTATGGTTTCTCTGAGGACCCGCCTGCTCCTACTCGGATTTCCGCTTCGCCCAGATCGTTTCGACGTTCCCCGCCCTGCACAATCAGCATCGACGGCGCCCCCCGTTTTGACCAGGTTGGTTTCGGCTCCTGGTGCTGACACTTCGATCCCAGACCTCCATACGCCTCTGGCTCGTGGAAGGGATCTTGCGTCTTCGACGCATCCTGCAACTTCGGTTGCTCCTGCCCAGCAGTCTTCTGCTGCTCCCGATTCTTCGGAATCTTCGACGCATTTGGTTTCGACCACTTATACGCCTTCGTCTTCGGTTTCCGCTGCTACTCTGCCTTCGGGTGAATTGCAGCCGGAGCCTCAGGAATCGGCCCCCTCTTCTATCGAGGCGGCTTTACATTCCTCGGCAGATTTAGCCTTCCGGGCGTCTGTCGAACGTTTCTCGCATGCTGATTGGGCTCGCGAGCAACGTAACGAACCTGTTTGTGACGCAGCTATTCGTTTCATCCTTATGGGTCGGCCTTCGGCTCTCCCTCCGGATTTCCTGGATCATCTTCCGTCCGGTCGTCGACCCCCTCTGTCGGAGATTCGTGACCTGTCTAACAAAGGCCGGTTACATGTTGACGATGATGGT